ACACACACACACACACACACACACACAAAACACACACACAAACACAAACAAACAAAAAAAACTCATTAACAACAGAACCCATTTTTAAAAAAATAGATAGTAGGCCTATAGCGCAAATCTCTGCTCAACAGCAAGCTCTTATAAATGCGCTTCACAATCTATACTATTACCTCAGCAGATCTGAGAGCGTTCTGAAACAGCCTCAACTTCATGGGAAGCATACAGGGCAACTGGCCATTTATAGGCGCTAAAATTTTACTAACATACTGACAAGATCTTTCGCTGTCTAGCTACGGCCGGGTATCCATTCCCACCTGGGTGAAGAAAGGATCACAAGGTCGGGCCCCGCGGTTAGAACCCCCGGTAACCACTAGGTCGCCCTTGTCCAGAAGGCCGTTTCAAACACAATATTATACTTATCAAAGCAACCCTAGCCCCCCAAAAAAGAAGGAAAAAAAAACCCTCTATGCAATATAATGAAATTATAATGGCGAGTTTTGTTATTACCGTTAAAATGTAATTTTATTGTGACAATGTTGTCAAAGTTCTCATCCAAACAAAGCCATAGAAACCTTTCTACTCCTGCAAAATTACATTATCTGCACACCCTGTGTAAACTACAAGAGTAGCAGTAGCATTATGACGTCAAGTATCCGTTCAGTATCTGCAGTAGCACGCAGAGGCTTGGGAATGAGGCAACGACAAAGGTGAAGGTCTTCATAACTCCCTCGGCTGTGTTGGCGCACACCTCTTCAGTGGCGATCGGAGACAGGATTTGGTGTCGAACCAAGCACGAGCTGTCGAAATAATATCACCAAGATGAACCTGGCTTAATAAGAAACTTGATGAAATTATTTTTGAGTGGTTTTTAAAGTTTGGGAAGCGTTTTACGGCACTTGTAGCACAGTCGTTGTGTCATTTATATGCCGGAGCTGTTATAACAAGACAGCAACAAATACAAAAAAGAAAAAAAAAATGAAGAAGAAGGAAAGCGATACCTAGGGAGACAGATTGGTGTTTGAAGGACAAGAGGAACAAATCACGCATGGTGCAAGAGCATCCACCCGGTCCCACTTTCGGATGTTTGAAGGGGGAAAGAGACTCCACAATATTCGATCCCGCTGTTCTTTTCGAAAACCCTCTTTCGCTCTCTCTCTCTCTCTCTCTCTCTCTCTCTCTCTCTCTCTCTCTCTCTCTCTGATGCACTGGAGATCAGCTCTAGGCCTAACCTTAAAGAATCTCAATACTTTCATTTTTAAAACCAGAGGATAACCGTAAAATGTCCCCTTTATCTACTCAAAATTAGTAATTTAAACTAGAGTAAAAATGCATTTTTATGAGCACTGGTTCCCTAAAAGACTAGATCTAAATGGCTAGATGAACTGACACCAGCAGAAATTGAAAAATGGAATTCAGTAAAGTCTAAAAATCTCGCCTGACAGGTCTTGCGGATGGGATCGGATCGGGTGGGGTCGGGTCGGGTTGATCGCCTAGAGGTTAAGGTTTTGGCCTCTCATTCAAAGGTCACGGGTTCGAATCCAGGTAGCGACCGCAAAATTTTCTTCTTTAAAATTGTCTCCTTTCACCTCCTTTCCAACTATCTAGCAATGTTCTGTTGTCTGCTTTCATTTCCACTTTCTGCCCCCACCCCCTCACCTCCTTTGCCCCCTCCTCTGCGCTCCTGACTCTTTCTGCAGCCTCTCTACTGCTACTCCTTGGCTCCTCCTTACTGCTGTCTTTCTGCCACACCCCTGATCTTCTGGTAGGAAAGATCTACACCTAGCCTTCTCGGACAAGGGC